AAAACCTTCAGCCTTGACCTTGGAGGAGTAGTCTTGGATCATATCCNCAAGTAACAACCACCGTNTACGACATTATCTTTTTCATTAACCTTTCGACTAGGCAAGACGAAAGCGATGATGGATCCGAGTCTTCCTTCACAGCCTTCGCAACTTGGGGAGTAGGTGAGGCTAAATTGTGGTTATCCTAATAAGCCTGCCTTTTGCTGAATGTGACGCCTTTTAGGGAAATATACGATCGATCTCGGCATATACCACAAGGAGGTTAAGCCAATCTTCCTTTCCGAATTCAAGATCGACAAATTTGAAGCCTAGTGAGTCTCCTCAAATCCGTGTCAGCTTGACTTTGACATAATTACAAAAGCTGCGGCTCGAACCCAGATTTCGAGATTGACAGGAAGGGCATAGTGAATCCGAGTGCTGTTGAAAAGAAAAAGATTCAACTTGGAAAGTGCCTAAGGGTAAATTTTATTTTCGCTACACCATTCTCATCTTTCTCAGAGCTACTTCCCAGAAAACCTTCAGCCTTGACCTTGGAGAAGTAGTTTTGGATCATATCCCCAAGTAACAACCACCGTTTACAAAATTGTCTCTTTAATTAACCTTTCGACTAGGCAAGACGAAAGCGATGATGGATCCGAGTCTTCCCTCACAGCCTTCGCAACTTGGGGAGTAGGTAAGGCTCAATTGTGGTTATCCTAATAAAACTGTCCTTTTGCTGAATGTGACGCCTTTTAGGGAAATATACCATTGATCTTGGTATATATCACGCGGAGGTAAAGCCAATCTTTCTTGCCGCATATAAAAAGATGGACAAATTTGAAGCCTAGTGAGTCTCCTCAAGCCCGCATCAGCTTGACTTTGACGTAATTGCAAAAGCTGCGGCTCGAACCCAGACTTTGAAATCACCAGGAAGGGCGTAGTGAGTCCGAGTGCTGTTGAGAAGAAAAAAATATCACTTGGAAAATGCCTAAAGGTAAATTTCATTTTCGCTATACCATTACCATTTTTCTCAGAGCTACTTCT